GAGGAAACAGAGGGGGGGGGACAGCAAGAACTATCATACTTCAATAAGCTTGGACACTGAAACAACACTATTCAAAGTACATGTCATCAGTCTGAACATGCTTTTGCCATTTCTAAAGCAGCAAATCAATACCGCTTTGTGCACACAGTTTCCCATTTGTCCATACTTGCAGCATCACGACCACTCAATGAAAGCTTTATCGCAATTTGCTGCCTTACAAGTACGAATTGGGACGCGGTGCACAAACCGCCTTCGAGAACAGCAACTGTGCTAGGCTCAAGGAATTGTGTTCAGGCGAACAGCATTTCTGTTCTTTGCCGAGTTTCGCGCCGGCAACATCAACTTGAAGAACCAGCTGCATTTCGGACGTCCACGCGAAGTTGATCGAGAAATTGACAGAGAAGAAGTTGACCGAACAATGCTAGGAGTGCTGGATCATCTCCGTACAGACTTCACATCTCGCAGCCTGACTATCGACTATCACCTTCCGGTTGCTGAAGCACTCTTGAGCAAGAAGTTACCGAAATATCAATCTTTTGTGGCCAGGATTGACAACCTTCTTGGAATCCAGGATGACGAGTTGTGTGAGCGTGGTGTTGAATTCTCGCCTGAGAAAGATCAGAAATGTGTTCAGGCAGACGGCGCATATTTTGAATAGTGTTGTTAAGCAATTTTGATTACTTCTAGCGAATGAATTTGGTGATTACTGCTTTAGTGCCAAAAACTGTGCGTCCTTTCAGAATCGACTGATGAAAAACGTTATTTTATAGAAAAAACAAGATGAATTCTTCAAATTAATCGAGTTCTGTGACCAGGAGGCAGGCGTTTGCCTGTCACGAATCCCCTACAATTGCAATGTACGAGACAAACACTCATCAATAGAGAAAAACACTCAAGGACAAACGAATGAATACACGAATAGACACAGATACAATAGCGACGAATAGCGGAAGAATACAAAAATTATTAACTTCTAAAGTAAGTCAACTGCTTCAATCGCAGTAACTGCCAAGGATACAAGATGATAAGCAAGGGGCTGAGGCTGGTTCAATCCATTTCCACTAACACGCTTTCAGAATCAATCAACGAATGTCTTAGGAAACGCTTTAGCTCGGTCACCTCCAAGATTACAAGAAGGATCTCGTTGAGCATTCAGCGATAGTTCTAAGGAAGATGAAGTCCTCGAGCACATGCCGAAGCAACATATTCGGAGACTTTTCTGGAGGACGAATTCGGCGGAAACGAATTTAATGCAAGAAACGCTCGGATGTGTGGTGATGGGTGTGTGATATGAAATGAAATAAAATGATAATGTGAAACGCTTGTGGCTCAACAATGCTGATCAATACTGCACTGTTTTGGTGGAGCTTTGCTTTACTCTTTGGTAAGCATACCTATGAAATTTCCTCTAAAACTCAAGCTACAACCTATAATCCCGATCACTGTCAGAGTCTCTTACAAGTACACCTAATCGCATCAGTATGAACTAAATTACCTTCCACAAAAAATCCTCGTCATTGCAAAATGCTACGAGTAAGGCCAACCATCCATCAGATCTTTCAACAATGTTTAGCAGAGAACTTCATCAAACTATGGCTGCCTGACCCGAATCCGTAGTCAAAACTCCTTGGAGTAAATAATTAACCTAATGTCTTATCTTCCTCGAAAAACACTGGAAGGCCAACCATCCATTGGAACCTTTTAACTAGCACAGAACACCACCAAACCATAGTACAAATGACTCACTCCGGAAGCAGAAACCGTCTAAACCTCAGAACAAGACAAATCCATAGAAACTTTTAACTTCTCATGAATAGCAGAGAACACCAACAAACCATGGCTGGTTGCCTAGCCGCCTAGCTAGTTCCGTCGTCAAAGTCTACTAGTATAAATAACTCAACCTACCACCGGCTCAATTATCGTCCGGACGTCAAAACACGAAGAAGTATGGCATTCACTCTGAATGATGATGCTGACGACGACGACGATGATGATGACTTTTCGAAGCACTAAAGCTATTGATTTTGCACCTGCTCGTTGCCGTATAATAATGCGACCGACGAGAGACACCGGCACGAAGCAAATGGAATGAAAAGCCTAATGAAAAGCTCATAGCTTTTCGCGAGTTCAAAACTTTTTCAGACCGGGAAAAAACAATCAATGCGTTGGAAAAAAATGTCGATGTTCCGATCGTGATTGATGCTTGACACACCACCCATTCTATTCAACAAAGTGAACCCTAGCTTTCATCGTTGGACGACACGACAGACAGATATCAGCAATAAGTAGCGATTCAAAAGACTCCCTTCCGATAAGGAGGCATTACTTTGAACTACTAAAAAACCACTAAAAGATCTTTTTCACAGTGCGATTATCGGCCATATGAAATATGGAAAGCGCAGGAAAGAACTTTATTCAGAAGGGCCTACCTCCTCCGCGGTGGGAAATGAAACGAGGGTTCAACTTCCGCACGGATAAACTAATACGATATAAATATACTACATAGTCCGATTTCTTCATGAAAGCGATAGAAGAAAGATATGATGTTCAGCGAATCCCTAGAGCGAAGAGGACCCGCTGGGCTACTCTTGCACGCGATAGGGAAAAATGGAAGAGTTGCTGGTACCCGCTAGAGTCGCTCGACGATCAACGGGACGACAGGTGATACCGTATGCCAACAACAACAACAACAATGTTCGCTGTAGGATGATCCACCAAGATGTGTTCGATGAGGGAAAACAACTTCTGCACTGCGCATCGCCAGTCGGGCCGGCCGGCCGGGCTGCACCCGGAGTTTTTAAGCACACAAAAACACCAGTCGACAGCAATTTGAAAGAGATTGAGAGCAGCATCTCTCGGCATTTGTTCGACGGCGATTTGACGATTTGATGTGCCAACAACTTTCGTAAACAAACAAAGCACTCTTTCAGCAGAACGACGATGTCTGCTAATGACATAGTCTGTAAGAATGTTTGGAGCCTTCTGGAAATCGGTACGCCAGTGGTATCCGTACGTTCCGGCAGTACCGCCAGCTTCACCAGAGGCCCACGCCCCTACACTGAACCTTACTCTATAGCATGGATGAGGAGACATTACGCTGATAGCACGTGATAACGTTATCACCATTTTTTCAGTCGATGGATTACGGCTGGTAGTGAATACATAGAGATCCTTCCTATCGGCTGTTTTCAAACCTAGCTAAGAACATTCAATAAGGTCTGTGAGAATCCCTCGACTGAGAAAATGGTGGTAACACAATTTCACGTGCTATCACTATAACGTCTTCTCATCTCTGATAGAAAATTAGGGTTCAATAAGGTACATGTGGCACTGATGAAGCGGGCGACACCACCAAAACGTACGTGTGCCACTGACAATATCAACCTCGAAAAGGGTTTAAAGATTCTCAGAGAGTAATATGGCAACAAATCTGATTAGAAAACACTCTGCGACGATTTGAAGCGATTGAAAGAAGGCAAATCTTGATATTTGTTCGACGACAATTTGATGCTATGTGCCAACAGCTTTCGACGACAAAACAAATTAATCTTTCCAGTAGGGCGACGATGATGTGTATACCACACATATGATAATAAACCTGCTGAGAAAACACCACTCGAAGGGATTTGAAGCGATTAGGAGCAAAACATCTCACGGCATTTCTTGGAGGACGATCTGACGATTTGATGTGCCAACAACTTTCGACGACAAACAAAACTATTCTTCTGGTAGAACGATGACGCCGACGTGTCTGCCGATATCAAAAGAAATCTATGAACAAACTTTCTCTTGACCTTGACATTATTATTGATTAAAAGCTTCCTTTAAAATTTAACTGATACTCGAGATTGACATATAAGATTTCTTCGACTCTCCACGACTTGAACTGGACAGTCGACTCGAATTATCGGCTCTGAAGAAGACAAAGACGTTGAGACGTTATCATGAAGGTGATAACAAATCTGCTGCTAACTCCCGATCAAAAACGGCTGGCGATGATAGCACTCATATTTCTTCAATCGTTTTGTACTTAACCTTCGAAGAACAGATGATGCTATAGCACCACAAGTGGATACATAAGCTGGGAAAAAGAGAGCTAAAGCGCTCAGATGCTGCTGCTTCATCCGAACGGCTTCAAAATCTTCCAAACTGAAAAGAGGACGAGGACGAGGACGAAGAGCTTGAGAAACACTGTGAAATCTTTTTCTAAACTCCATTCGAGAGAAGTTCGATGGAATGAAGAAAAAGACGAACTGCGCAAGTTTTTTTTCGTGGTCATAAAAAAGATGAATCGATAGAAAAAGGTCAATTTCATTCGAAAAAGCAGTTGAAGTCTGAAGAGAACAAACATATTTCACAACTCTATATGTCTTTCAGGTTTTTGTCTTTGACACTGATGTCACAGTTGAACCACTAACATATATAGAAAAGACGCAAAAACAGTGTCACATCTTAGTCAAAGAATAAAGGCTGGAATATAAAGGAACGAAAAAATTCTTAAAAAAAAAGATTAGAGAATTCGAAAAAAAAATAGGAACGAGGAAAAAAGGTACTTATGTGTTAGACGGCAATGACTGAAAATTATATGTCATTCGCTGTACAAAGAATTTTTCATAGGAGTGTTAGTGATCATTGGAAAATCACAACTCTCCACTAGCGCCCAGCAACATAATTACAACTATACTGATTCAATACAACTGGATTCCTCGGGACATCAAGCGCATCTAAAGGAAGACCACTGACCCGCTGGTCCGATTTCTTCACGAAAGCGATAGAAGAAAGATATGATGCTCAGCGAATCCCTAGAGCGACGAGGACCCACTGGGCTACTCTCGCACGCGATAGGGAAAAATGTAAGAGTTGCTGTTATCCCGCTCGAGTCACTCGACGATCAACGGGACGACAGGTGATACTGATTCAATAGAATTCTTCTAACCGCTTTTAACGGTGGTATGATGTCATAAATATACCCAGTGATGTAGAGTGATGTACAGAACTTTCGCATCAGGCAGGATTCAAACCTGCATCACACTCTATCCGAGAGCGCATGCTCTAACCCGTTGCACTACTGACGCCCGTATTGTCCAGCACTCTTTCTACGCCATACTGATTTAAATAATATCTATTTAAGGCAATTAGTAGCAAGTCAAAGAAAAAACGATAAGGAAGAGAAAAGCCATTTTCTTTTGAATATGAGAAAAGAAACGGAAATGAAGCTGACGGCCACGTAAAATAGATTTCACTCAGGATAGGAAATCAACTCTAATGCAACTGGACAGGGCATTTCTAGGAAAAAAATGGCCATTTCGTTCCAAAAATGAGGACACAAAAGATAAAAGAAGGCAAGGGCTATTCGAAATGAATTGCATTTCAGTGACAGAAAGTCACCTCCTTGAAATTCTAAAAAAAAGCTGTATAAAAAACCATGGAAACGTTGGAAAAAAATTCTTTTTTCGAAAACGAGAGAGAAAAAGGAAGTAAACCGTGGAAAAAGGTTATCTTTCTCAATGAAAAAAAAGAACCTAAAAGAGGCTAAAGATCACATAGAATTGATTCTAGAAATACCCCAATGATGCTTGAGTGATATGCAAAAACTTCGACGCGTCAGGCGGGACTCGAACCCGCATCAGTTCACGATGACGGGGAGCGTGCTCTAGACCCGTTGCGCTATCGTCGCCTATTTTGCCACCACTCTACGCTATAACACCCCGATTTTCGAAATAATACTTTGCATTGCCATCGTTTTTTTTCGAAGTAACCTCTGTTTATTCGCCATAAGGTAGGCTTATTAACACTAAGTAACATCAATTCTAGATGGCTTTTGGCCTTCTTTTCGATTTTTTCTTTGATTAAAGATAAAGGGACAGCCTTCTTTTTCAGAACTTCCTCCTTCTCCTTTTTACTTCTTGCCGAAGGAGTCCTGTCAAACGAAAAAAAGCCGAGTGGAGGTCAAAGGTCATTTAGGAGATGATTCCACTCATGATAGTAAACAACCACTTTACAGTGAGTAGGCAAGGGTTGCTTGGAGAAACCGATGAAAACGTCAGCAGAAAAAAAAAAGAGGGTCGTCGTCTTCTGCAAAACGAGAGAAGAAGAAAAACATCCTAAGAGGAGGTAACGGCCATTCAAAACCAATTCCATTCAATGATAGCAAGTTAATCCTATTCTAAGCGGACAACGGCTCCTAAAAAAACGATAAAATCGCAAGAAATGGAAATCAGAAAATGAGAAAAAAAGTGGGGAAAAAAACGGGGGAAGAAAACGAGAGAAAGAGGAAATAGTCGTGAATTTTTCAGAGAAAAAAAGGAAAAAAGCCAAGCACTTTCGAGATTGAATTCCATCCAATTTTAGCAAGTTAATCCAATTGCGGCAGGACGAGGGTTGTGTAGAAAAAAGACGAAGAAATGGTAAAAAATGAAAATGAGAAAAAAGTGGTGGCCGAACCGACGTCAGTAGCGCAACGGGTTAGAGCACGCGGCTTCCGGATAGATGTGAGATGCGGGTTCGAGTCCGGTCTTACGCATAAGCTTTGCAGATCACCACTCTACATCAGTGAACATATCTATAACATCATACCACCGCTAAAAGCGATCAGATAAAAAAACTTCTATTTGAAAAAATCAGAAAAAAGACAAAAAAGTGAACAATCGGAAGTCATTTATTTGACCGCTTGCTGCGGTGGTATGATCTTGTAATATACCCGATGATGTGGAGTGCTGTGCCAAAAAACATTTGCGTCAGCCGGGATTCGAACCCACATCTCACTCTTTCCGGGAGCGCATGCTAACCGTTGCACCACCGACGATCAAAAAGTGCCTTTTAAAAGGAAAAGGAAATGAGACCAAGCGCTTTCGAGACTCAATTTTAGCAAGTTGATCATCGAATTGCGGCAGGGCAAAACTAACTTTGAAAAAACCATGGAAACGCAGAGAGAAAAAAATCAGCCGTGCTCCTTCAAAAACGAAAAAGAAAAAAAAATTCGAGAGGATGTCAATGGTACAGACTGATAGTAAGCGGCAATTAAATCACAAAAACGTAAAGAATGGACTTTCTCTCTCAAAATTTAGAGGGAAATTCTTGCTTGCATCGAAATTTTTTTCTCAGTTTTTTCTGAAAGAAAAAAAAATTCTTCCAATTTAAAAGAAAAAAAAGGACAGAAAATAGCCCGAAGATCATCCCCGCTGACGGCCAAAATCGCCCAACCACTCAATCAAAGGCTCTGCCCTCTCCCGCCCGACGCCTCCTCCCTCTTCTGGCCGGCCGGCCGGCCGCGACGACGACGACGACACGGCAACCCGACGTCACTCGTCCGTAAATGCACTCGCACTCACACTGGGGTGCTTATCGATCCACGTTGGGAGCAAAAAACGACACGTCAATCGGCGTATCGTCGGGATTAATTCACGTCCAGAACGCTTTGCAGCAACGGCGACACTACACGCCCTTCTTGTCGCCACCGGAACATCGTGCCGTTGCCGCCACTACCATCAAGTAAATCCGTCAGCACCACGTCATTGATGCGGTCGGTCCTGCAACGAAAAGCAATCGCTGCAGGACCACAAAACCAACTGTAGTTTTTTCTTTGAAGAAAAACTAAAAAGCGAATTTCGAGTAGAAATCGGCAAAAAATCAATCATCAAATGAAATGAACGGCAAGAACACTCAATAACAATTGATGTATTTATTTATAATATGACTGAAGCAGAAAAGAAGACAAATTTTGGTGATATCTCACAAAAGGTGTTGAGTAAAAATTGCAAGCTTAACTTGATACATGAGTGCTGAGAGCGCTAATAGAACGGAAATCCCGGTAGTGTAGTGGGTAGCACGCGCCCCCGGAAGGCTATAACGCCGCTGGTTCAATCTCTCGCGCGGGTTCAAAGTTCTGCATTGCATATCACTCAACAACATTGGATAGATGCTATTTACTTCACTATGGACAAATCGATCAGGTGGCACATCTTCCAACAAAATCCAATCGATCATTTAATACATTTCCACTTTTTCAGAAGTAACAAAAAAACGACGGAGAACGAGAGAACAAATTTTGATCCTTTCGGGACCGTGTATCCATCTCCCCTGCATCTCTAACCCCCAGAGTGGCAACGCTGCATGGCCTGCTCCACCTCCTTTGCATCTGTAGCCCCAGCGTGGGAATGCATTGAATGTATTTTTGTAATATTTAAACTATATTATCGATGTTATTTTCTTATTTACAACAACACACTATATTTTCATATAATGTAACACAGGAAAATGACAACAATAGTACAATGGACAATAATACATTTAATGCGTTCCCACGCTGGGGGTCAGAGATGCAGAGGAAGTGGGTCCACAATCTCGAAAGGGTCAAGACTCAAGTTGCTAGTGTTTATTTCGACTAGCAGCGTGATATACATCCTTTTCGGAGCTGAATTTTAAGTAATGCGAAAATACCACCTCTCGTTGACGAATGTATCTCAGCTCACAACCCTAGGAGACAGAAATAAATCTAAAAAGCAGAAAAAAAAGAGTTTGTTGTAGCACACGCTGACTATAAATCAAGGACACGCTGGAGAAGTATATTCATCATCTTAACTGATAAAATCTGACAGCCCAGTTCTTGTCACTGATGGATTTGCTCACCGCTTTCTTAACCCTTGGTCTTTTGTTCTGAGATAGAAAAATAAAATGTCAATACTTATATTTTTATATAGAGATTAAAAACATCACAACCCCTTCCCCCACCTCGCCGACCAATTAGTTTTTTCAGTACAGTGATTTGCCTTGGAATAAGACTCTGTTTACATGTGTTTACATGACGGATTAAATCGGCAATGTGGCCCCGTGACCCTTTTTCGAGTTTTCTTTGGATTTGTGAGTTGAATGTGAACAACAACTTCTAGTGGTGTATGATCTGATGGAGACTGTTTCCATCCTTCGTAGTGAAATTCACTTCTTTTTTGGCCCTCATTAAGATTTAGGGTTTTGATGGTGGATATGGAGAGGTCGAAATAGCTACACAACTTCGAAGCCCCTCATACTAAACTTTCACACTTGATTTATGATTGTTACAAAAAAATTCGAAACCGAAATTTGGCTATCAATCTATAGCAGAGATAGATATAGCAAGATAATACTTCTATGGTTTCGCATCGGTATAAACCGACCGTATCCCCAAAACTATTTGTCTATGGAGATTACTCAGTAAATCAACTCGTTACAGTTCAGACCACCTATATTGCTAAAAGGATCTGTTCGGAGCTTGTCACAGTGATAGAAAGGCTATGCTAATTTGGAACTACTCAATAAATCAACTCGTTACGAGCCAGACCACGTACATCGATAAAAGGATCCTAGCTTCCCATCTACTGCTTTTGAAACCTGGCTATAAACATTCATTCAATCAATCCACGAGAATGTTTGGAACCTTTTCAAGGCTTGTACCTCGGTGGCTTACGAACGTTTCGGCGATTTCGCCCGCTTCATGAGAGCCACACGCCCCACACTGAACCCTACTTTACAGCAAGTATATCGGACATTTTTAGTGATCGCACGTGACTGTGGTTAGCACCATTTTTTTCAGTCAAAGGTAATGTCTACATTTTCCTAGCAGCCAAAAGAAATCGACTGAGAAAAACGGTGATAGACACAATCACGTGCTATCTCTAAAAACATTCTACCATCTCTGCTATAAGGTAGGGTTCAGTGTGGGGCGTATGGCTCGTATGAAGCGGGCGATACCGCCGAAACGTACATAATTCACTGACATAGCGACCTTCAGGAAGACTTCAAACATTCCCAAGGGCTAGAAGGATCATCTGTTCGGGTTTCACACAGTAACTCAGAGATTATGGTAACCTTGAACTAATCAGTAAATTAACTCGATACGGATCAGACCATCTCTTCATTCTTAAAACGACTTGTTCGGGTGTCATGACAGTAGCACAAAGACTATTCTGATCGCGAACTGTTCGGTAAATCAACTCGTTTACGACCAGACCACCTACATTGTCAAAATGATCATCTGTTCGGGGCGAGTCGTGATGCCCTACAATGGCCCATGTAATTGGATGTCACACATCACATCACG